GATTTAGTTTGAATATCAGGAAAAGAGTCTTTCCCCTAGAGGGTGATCAGATATTGAACAGGCTCCCCAGGGAATGGTCACAGTCCCAAGGCTGCCAGAGATCAAGGAACATTTGGACAATGCTCTCAGGCACAGGGTGGGATGGCTGGGGTGTCTGTGCAGGGCCAGGATTTGGACTTGGTGATTCTTGTGAGTGCCTTCCAGCTCAGGGTACGTCACCATGATATTTTCTGAAAAATCTCTTCACCAGGATTTCTTCTCCTTGGAAGCTGGGAAGCCTCAGCTTCTCCATGTTTTGCTCCTCTGGAATGTGATCTGGAGATTGTTTATCCAAACATGTGATTTGTTTTTAATTAATGGCCCATCACAGTCCAGCTGTATCGGACTCTCTGAGTCAGTCACAGGTTTTTATTATTCATTCTTGTCTAGCCTTCTGATGTATCTTTCCTCTTTCTTTAGTATAATTTTAGTGTAGCATTTGATATGATATGATATATAATATGATAAAACATAACATTATCATATCATCAAATAATAAAACAGCCTTCTGAGAAACATGGAGTCAAATTCTCATCTCTCATGTCATCTTGGGGACCTCACAACACCACAAGGGTATTTGGTGATTCTGTGAAGGCTGAGGTCCACGTGCAGTTTCTATTTCACCTCCACACACAGACACATCCAGTCAATGAACCTTGTTCTGATGGCAGCCGCTCTTCAGAGGATGGACAAAGGGATGAAAAGATTCTGTAGTGGAAATTTTATCTCTCCATGTCCCAAGACCATCCTTGTAGATTATACTTGCCTACATTGACCTGGTCTCACTGCACTGTTCCAAGGGCTGAAAGAAACTGTTGAAGACTCTGCCAAGTCTAACAATTCAGTGACAAAACATTTTTGGCCTTTGCAAAGGTTTTTATGCACAAAAAAAAGGAGGGATTTTTTCCAGGTGGAGCATTTAATCATAAGTAAAGGGATTGTGACGTGTGTTTTGTGTGTAGTGATAAAGAAATGGAAATTTCATGGCATAGAAAGGATTGGCAGATGTGGACCAAGTTATCCTGGTGCACTAGAGAAAGAGTGATGCTCCAAGTGAACTTTCCATCCACAAAGATTAAAGCTGGCCCTGGATGCCATTAGCAATAAAATCCCTTTGGCATCTGGAATGTCATCATCCTGCAAGTTTTGCAAGATTTAGAAAGCAGAAATTAATCCAGTGTCTGACTAAGGAAACTTGCTGCAAGCCTGTGTTACCAGTCACTTCAAAGCCATCCCCAAACACCTCCCAGAACAAAGACTGAGCAACATCTCTTTCCCTGATTGTCTTGGGAGAGCATCTGCAGGAAAAATTACACAGAGGCAATGGCTCAAATGCAGCATAACTTTAATGAGACAAGAGAGGGAAATTAGGTCATTTCAAGCGATGGTCATGGTGCAGTGAGCATGAGGGACAGATAAGAGATTGTGCCCCATGGTTGGGGCTGAGAACCTTAGAAGGTTCTGAGAACCCTAGAATGTCCATCTGCCTGCCCTACAGAGGGAGCAGGGCCAGCAGGTGCTCCCCAGGATGGATGTGTGGGGCTCACAGCCCCAGGGAGCACAAG